AGATAGGAAATGGGCCTGAAATGGGCCTGAAATGGGCCTGAAATGGACATGGCAGATATAGTTTCAGCAACCATAAAAGGTAATTTGTTACATACATTTTATGAGTGCCTTAATTATACCTGCTCGAGACATTTTAAGAGTATTTCAGGACTATCATCAGTTTTTTGGTCTGTTAAATTTCCGAATCTCCAAAAGCGCTTGTTCCTGATGTCCTGAAATGTATTACAAAGCCATCAGTAATGATGGCTTTCCCGGCAATTTCCGGGACACTCATATGACCAGTACAGCCTGCCTAACTGGGATGTTTCAGGTTTATTTCAAAGCGCGTGACAGACAGCCTTTGCCGACAAGAGAAATTGCCTCAAAAGTGACAGAAAAGTGAGCATTTCAGCACTCGGGAAAGTTGCTGGAAAGTCTCCCGAAATGTTACATTTTGGATGCCTTGTCTGGGACATTTCGGGCCCCCTGAAATCTGGGGATGCCCGTAGTGAAACATACTCTGTGTCCTGGGTGTTAAGGCAACAATTGATGTGATTCTCAAATCATATACATGACTGATCTTGATCTGTTCGTCTCTCCCGGGCCGAGAGCGTCTTTGATAAGCTCGCGGTGTACGGGGTCTTCGCATAGGCCTGCAATAGCCTCTGAAGACGGCCGATAAGAAGAGCTGTCACGGGCGTTGTGGTTTGAGATCGATAGACGATAGTTCGAGCCAGGAATACAGTTAATACAGGCCGGACGAGGTACTATTATCTGCGCGCCTCCGAAGGCGCTAAATCAGATGCCCGGCTGGCGGTCGCCGCGACTTTTACTGTATGCGCTTTGAATACAGGAACAAAATAAAAATAATCTTACTGTATCCCGCATGCACGACTCTAAGTTATGTAACTTGTGCGTTTCAGAGAAGGGGATTGCAATCGGGCGGGCACACAGGCCTCGCTTTCACCTCACACGGTTCCAAGTGGCTTCGTGGCACTGTACCTGCGAGTTCAAATTCAAACTTCAGCATCCCTGAAGAAGGAGAATCAGGTACTCGGGTGTTGAAGCGTTGACGTCGAAAGTCTCGAATTCTCCTTCGCTACCCCCCTGCCCCTGTGCATCAACGACCCGCTTCTGTAGGAGAGTCACCAGCCTAACATATACCGTAGGTTTGTTCCCGGTGCATTCTCAAACGTTTGATGCACAGCAAAGATTGAGCACGGGGCCCTAAGTTGAAATTTCGAGCACTGTACGACATGGAAGGCAGAGTCATATATCATTATGATTCAAGAAGTTGACTCGATTTATTCCCGGTGATTCCAGACTTACGTTAACTCACCCTCATGCCATCGTCGGATCTCACCCAGTCGGACGATATCAGGGATGGCGACGCTTCAACCGTGGCAGATAGTATTAATCTGTGCGGCTGTGATTACAGCACAAGTGTATTTTGTTGCCGAGTATCCTGATGTTATGAGCACTTCGTGCTGATCATTGACTCACTGCTGAGGTCAAAGCAGAAAAAAAAAAAAAAAAGGTAGAGGTCTGCGCCCTGTAGGGATCGAGAAACTAGGAATACCTATACGCCTACTGAAAGCTCGAGGTTCGGTACCCAAGGGCTGCCTTCGGCTTTTTCCGCGCGGAGTTAACTCGGCCAGGACCCCGAGTTTACTCATAGACTCGAACGCTCACCGACTTGGAAGTGGGAGCATAGGCGTATCATGTTGAGCACACACTGGTATCGTTGACGGTGATCGCGCCGTTGTGTATTCTATCAATTTCTGCTTCTGAGCATTCGGCCTTTGGATGGATGTTTCCAAGATCCTCGGTGGGCCCAAAAGAGGGCAAGGAGGTGACACCTTCCCAGTAGGAATCTTCGCCTTTATGCCAGTCCAGTGGCTGACTGGACCCTTCCTGCAGATTCACCCTGAGCAGTATGCCACTGCGTCTCATAGACATCGTTATATTCAGCTCTTTCCTCCTCGTCGTGGGCTTGGTTCTTCGGCACTATGTGACGCGCGGTAACCGTGGACTCCCTCCCGGACCAAAACCAGTCCCATTGCTGGGAAACATTATCCAGCTACCAAAAAATCATGCGCAGGAATGCCTGCAATATGCTGAGTGGGGCAAGTTATATGGTATGCATCTGTCATTTTGAATGCCACGACGCGCTTGCTGAACGATTGTGGTAGGCGACATCAGCACCTTCTGGGCGTTGAACAAGCCGGTTATCCTGCTCAACTCTGCTAAAGCAATAGGCGACTTGTTTTAAACCCGCTCCAGCTTGTACTCCTCCCGTCCACACCTCACTATGGCGGGTGACCTGTGAGTACGATTGCTATCCGTATATCGAAGTGATATTTACTGAGCATTTCGTCGCTGAAGAATGGGCTGGAGCGAGACCGTCCCGCTCATGCCGTACGGCGAGCGCTTCAAGAATTATCGCAAGCTGCTTAAGACTGGTCTGAATAGTCAGGTGGCGTGGGAGTACCGGCCCTTGGTTGAGCAGAAAATTGGCAAGTCGCTGGGCAGACTGCTCGATAATCCGAATGGCTATGCAAACAACTTCTGACGGTGCGTATGCACAAGCCTAAATGGAAGCTGAAGCTGACCCTTCCTTTCCTATGGTACAATCGGAACTGTAGCTCAGCAGATCGCTTATGGATTCGAGCACGAGAGCAAGGAGCTCAATGCGCTTTCGGAAGACACTGAGAAAGTCTTGGATCTGTTCGCAATCGCCGCTTTGCCTGGGCTCTTTCTGGTCGACGCCCTCCCCATTTGTGCGTCCCACTCATTAAACATGTTGACACCACTGACATGCTGTTCTTAGTGAAGCACGTGCCTCCGTGGTTTCCAGGCGCAAATTTCAGGCGACTCGGCTTACAGGCTCGGGATGCAACGAAAAAGATGGTCGATACGCCCTTCGAGGTGGTGAAGCGCCAGGTGGTGCGTTGTAGTCTTGCAGTTTTCATGAACCCGCAGTCACGTCGAACCAATAGCGCCGCAGAAGGAAGGAACTGCCCCTAGATCGTTCGCAGCGAATCTTCTGAACGAGGCACCAGAAGAGCGCAGTAGCGAGGAAGACATTAAATGGGTTGCCGCGGGTTTCAACGCTAGTACGTGCCTTTACACAGTCAGCTTAGAAGCCTACTTACATTCTCCCTAACCCAAAAAAATGACAAAAACAATTGACGACAGGCTCGGTCGACACGGTACGGCAGACGCACACATACATCTCAGCAACCCCGCTGACATCGCGCTACACGCCTCATTACAGACTACCGCCACACTGTCTACTTTTTTTCTCTGCATGGTGGTCTTTCCCAAGGTGCAGAAGAAGGCCCAGGCAGAGATTGACAGTATGATAGGGAAAGACCGTCTGCCTGGCATCGAGGACCGTGATGCCCTGCCGTACGTGCGCGCTGTGGTGAAAGAGGTCCTGCGTTGGCGACCTGCCGTGCCCATAGATAAGCCCCGTGGTCTCACTCTCTTTTACACACCCGCGACTTACCGCGCTCTCAGTGTCGCATGTGGTGGCGAAAGATGACGTGTATCGAGGTTACCAAATTCCAGCGGGCACCGCGCTCATCGCGAACATCTGGTGCGTTCGTGCTCGCGTCCAGCAAGACGGGGACTGAGGAGCTTTCACATGGCGGCGATGCACGACGAGACGGTGTACAAGGACCCCGACGCGTTCTGGCCGGAACGCTTCTTGCCGCCTGAGAACGCGCAGGACAGCTCGCGCTTCGCGTTCGGCTTCGGTCGCCGGTACGTCTGCGTCCCACCCAATTTACTTTAACCCTTTTTTTGCTGACGGCGTACGTTCCGGTCAGGGTGTGCCCCGGCGAGGGCGTTGCGCAGGCCACGCTCCTCTGCATGGTCGTGCGCGTACTCGCAGTATTCAATATCGCGAAGGCGCGCGACGAATATGGAAAGGACGTCGAGCCTGCGTTGCTGTGGTCCTCCGGCTTAACGAGGTACGGCGGTTCCTCCTCTCTTACGCCTTGCATCTTGCTAAGGCTCTGTCTGCAAATAGTCCCCCGCATCAATTCAAGTGCAAGATTGTCACTCGCTCGCCAGAGGCAATGAAATTAGTCGAAGAGGCACGGGATGGTTAAGAATACCATGGGATCTCAGGCTAATCCCTTTGACGTTGACAATTCATCGATAATTTCGGTCCATCGTAGCAGTGGCCCCGCACGAGAACGTCCAAGCGCCGGTGCGGTAATGTGGTAAGGCAGGGTCTGTGTGATGCAGGTAGATAATCATGACAAGCCAGTGGTTGGCAAGTACCCAAGGGATGCCGTAGTACTTTCAAAACAGTAAGCTAGCCCCACTTGCCAGCTGTACTGCGCAATAGGCATGCCATTATAGCTACACCGAGGTCGGACAGCAAAACAACTTTACGTTGATGTTCCTCAGATAACACACAATTTGCCACATACTGTAGCGGAGCGAACGGTACAAACCGTAACGCATAACGCACCCCCTCACCGGTTTGTAATTCCGGTCTTCTTGTCACGCTTCATGGCTTTTCGAGGGTCTGAAGGGAGCATAAGCTAGTTTTTATAGGCAGTATGGCCATTTCTCTGGCCTTTTAATTGCTTTCAAGCCTTCAGCAAGGGCTGTAGTTGCAGATAGGATTCCAATATTTTCCCCCACAAACTAACATGTCACGCATAACCCCTGGCCGGTTTGTAGCATGGAGGGCAAGTTAACTGTCACGCCTCCCTGGCCGGTTTGTACCGTTCACTCCGCTACAGTAGTACGAATGGGTATCCAGTACATGCATCATGCAATGAATAACCTACGATTGAAGTGGCTGGCCCACCTCGTGTACTCCTTGTTTCCTGCGACATTGGAGACTGGCCATGCGAAGACAGAGTCAGCGGAAGTCCAATGAGACAGATGCTCATTTGTTTATCTAAGTATGCGGAGAGACCTATGAGCTGTCGTGATATCGAGCGGACCAACGTGTACAGTGGCGCGTCGCCAAAGTACTCCTCATAATCGATGTCTTTCTGGTTCGTGCTGGCCCGGGGCCGAAGCTTCATCTCACTTCTTGTGGGCAGCAGCCAGTTCTCCTCGCGTTTCATGGACGCATGGCTCATGTGGTGGCAGTGGTGTGAGGTCTTCCAGCTCCAGTACGGAACCAACGGCCTGAGAACGGAGTGCAGAAGCTTTATTACTTTAACGAGACACAAGGCTATCCGAGGAAAAAAACGCACGGAGCCGACCAAATTGCAGACCCACTTCAAGTCTGACTCTCCTGAGCTGAACTGATGATAAAATTCAATATTGGTACATGGAATCACTTAGAACAGCGCTGAATGGTACAAGAGGCGATCCTGAAATCCTCTATGTCTTGGTATCTATCATAAATTCAAGAAACCCTTCTTTTTCCAATAGTCCACCCACGCCCGAGCGTGCAATTCTCCGAGCGGTTCAAGAGTATCTGTGGAAGGGCTGAGCCGACGCAGGTTTGCCGTATCGTACGTAGGAACTCCTCCTGCCTCCACGAACAGCTCGCCTTGTGTGGCGGCTGCCCGTGCTTCGCTTGCGGCGATGCCTTGAAGGAACTGTAAGATCTTCACGGCAGGCTGAAGGTTTCAAGGGTTAGGGGGCCAGCCCATTCGCTAGTGGCGTCCCACTCACCACTCGCTCGAGATCCTCGGGTCTCTCAGCGGCTGCGACAGCCTCGACGGCATGAAGCCAGTCTTTGAATGGCACCATGCGGAGAGGTTGCTGGCCAAGCCGGCCGTTGATACATTCGAATACGACGTGCCACTCTGTAGGATGGGGATGGACGATATTGACAAGCTCGGGAAGGGGCCTGTCCGACGTGACGAGGTCAATGAGAGAAGCAATCACCACGTCCACTGGGATCCAAGATACGACCTAGAAAATAATCAGACCCAGCGACGTCAGGCGGGTGTGGGTAACGTACGCCATCTAATGCTGGTAGCATTCCCAGTGCCACGCTGGACTTGATCACAATCGGCACCCATTCGCTCGTCGCCCACGCGCCGGTAGTCTTGGATCCGCAGACCTGGCCGATGCGAAGCGAGACGGCCTGGAGACCATTCTTGGCAGCCTTTGACAGGATCTAGGAGGTCCGCACTCGTCAGGTATGCCGGAAATAGAATCACCTATGGTACTGACGTTCTCAGCAACGAATTTCGACGCGCCATAACCATTCGCAGCAGCAGCTTTAGGGTCGTCTAGGGCAACCTCTGGAACTGGTCCACGGGAGATATCCCAGCCGGCGGCGGCGGCGATCGAGGACGTGAAATAAAGCTTCACCGAGTGCGAGAACAAGGCGCAGAAGTCAACGAGCTGCGAAGTGCTGGCGACATACTTATCAAAGGACGGGAGGGAGAGGTTGAAGTCGACCCGCCAGGCGTTGTGGATGACATGTGTGACGTTATCTTTCAGCTACATAATATGTGATTAGGCTGGTATTCAGCGGAAAGTAAAGCGAAGATACCAACCTCTTTGAGAGCGATAGAGTCCAGGCCGAAACCCTCCACAGTGACGTCGCCACTGAGCGGTACATATTTGGCATCGGAGAGGAGATCAGTGGAAAGGCCTCTATTGTCGAATGTGACTGCTTGACGCGCTCGGATGTCAGAGCCGCGGTTGAGCGCATACACGCGTTTAACCCTTGGTTCACGAAGTAACGCAGCGAGGATGTGCGACCCAATGTTCCCAGTCGAGCCGGTGAGTAAGATAACGATATCAGCAGAGCTAGCGATGCTAGAAACGACTTCTGGGGTCGGAATATGGCGAACGTAGTGATCCAGCATCTGGGAGATTTCCTTCAGGGTATCCTGCTCGCTGACTGGAGCTTTGGAGAGGATTGTGCCCGCGACCGCGCTGGCAAGGGCGCGCAGACTCGGATGGTCAAATACAAAGTTCTGAGATACACGCGCTGTTGCCTGCTGAACGTCTAGGTCCTGGCTTGCACGCATAGTCCCTATGATGCGGTTGCGCAGGAAGGTAGCATGCAAACTATAGCAGAGAATGAGGGCCATAAAACTGAGGATATTTACGTAGAGCGCACCTATCAAAACCTTGGTCGAACATGTCCCGCGAAGGGGAAATCTCAGTGCCATTGTTGATCGAGGCGGCATGGCTTATAAGCCACGGCTCGATGTCTTCAACAGACCATGATGCAGGTGGCGCTATGCCCCTCGTGTCCGCGCTGTTGTCTACTGTCTTGTACCTGGAGATATTTTGAGCATGCATGGGGCCTATAAGCGTAGGGTCACCTACAGTTCGTTAATCTCCTCGGAATAGAGCTGGATGGTTTGAAAGCGAATGACCGTCCCCTTTGCAGCACGAGGTAAGGGTTTGTCAGGACTAGTGACTATAATCATCTCCTTGAAGATGCGCGCGAATGAAGGGGCAATCGCGTTTCCTTTCTCGACTGCTGGCCTAAGTAACCCATGATCAATGGTCGTCCGAGTATATTTCAAAACGCAAGGCCCACCAAATCTTATTTCTGAAGTCTACCAATGCACCAAGGTTCCCTGGATCGACAGTGAACTCCGGACGTGGTTCGATGAGAACGCCACAAGTGTTCTTGGCTCGCCCGAACACGACGACACCGGAGACCATGGGACTCGAAGCAATCAGGCCTTCTTGAGGAATGGGCACAACTTTCTCGCCTAAAGCACCTAGTTAGTAGAGACATCAAGACAAGAGGTACGAAGCGTCATTACCCGTTCCCAGAACAATAACATCATCCTTCCTCCCAGTTCTGCAGAATGGCGACGTCAGAGGCAGCAAATACGAGTATCAAAAAGACGCACATCTTCCACAGTCCCTTCTTCGTTGGGTGAGGCACGAAAAGATCGCTGGTAGCATAACCCCTGGCATCGGGGAGATTCTCGATAGCAGGTGTATGTCCTTCACACGTCTGATCTTACATGTCAGCAGATTATAGAGTGTAACGGCAGAAGACATTGACATACCAAGAACTGCAGCTCGTACGTGCCATCGCCCTGAGGAATCCATCTGCACTTAGGGTAGTCTGGGAACGATACCCACTCCCAGTCCTCTTTCGTCCTCGAGCTCGCCTCAGGTCCTAAGCTATAATCGGTGTCGAGTATTTTGGTGTGAACGCCGTACTCTGTTCCACCATATACGCAGCAGAGACGAACGCCCGCAGCAACAAGCTTGTTGCCGCTCGTTTTCGATAGAGGCCCCCCAGCGTAAGCCTAGAAACGAGGTCGGCTAAGAGATTGCGGTGCAATAAGTACAGCGACGTACAAGGATGTCCAGTGTTGCGAGATATCTGATGGTATCCTCAGACTGCGCCCACGCCTGCCCTCTCTGATATCAACAAAGCAGTCGCTGCGGCTCGAACAGGCGTACCTCGATAAGAGCCGGAACAATAGCAACCCCGGTTACGTTCGCTCCTTTACAGGCTTCGATGATGTTAAGTGGGCTCGGCGCGACAGGCGGAGCAGGTGCCATGGGGTAGTACAATCCAACAGGAAAGCCTGTCGCCAGGGGAGTATAGAATTGCATGTATAAACCCATCGTATGGAAAGTGGGCAGAGGCATCGAGCCCCAGACAACACCATGTTTCCGAGTGTCGGAAATAGGCGCTACGGGGCGATCAGTGTCTGGCATAAACACAGAGCATGTCGCAACATACATGAGATACACCATTCGAGCACGGCCTTCTGCCGCTGAGGGACAGGTTTGGGAAAACCAGTGGAACCGGAGGAGTGCAGGTAGAGGACGATATCGTCCGCTGAATGAGGTTTACTGGGGGGTGAGAATGTTTGGGTGCGGAGTGCGCCAGGATTTCCAGAAAACTGAGGAAAGATGTCGTGAAGGCCCGGAAGCTCGTCGACTCTAATCTGGAATTGATCGGATGCAATCTCAGATTTGATGCCGGAAATGACAGGATCGAAGACAGGCTGGGTAATGATATGGTGACAATCCGTCTTTTTCAACATGTTTGCGAAAGCAGGAACAGAGTTCTTGGGAGACATAGGGAACGGCTATAGGGAAGGTAGTCATGTGCTCCATGAGTTTGCATCTAATGCTGGTACGAACGGTCTACTCACGATAAATCCGGCCCTGACAAGCCCACTGAGAAGAGCAAGGTATAGGATGGTGTCGCAATGAACGATAACGGCAACAATTTCACCGTTCGCGCGAGTGCCGTCAGGCCGGAGAGCCCAAGCTACTCTCTGGGTTGCCTCGGAGTATTGCGCGTAGGAAACTGACTCTACGGGCGTACCGGCCGGAAAGACGACCCACGGACGCTCGCCATTATTCTGCGCTTGGAAGTCTATGAACCCAGGGATAACGGAAATGGAACCGTCGAGTGGCGGAGAGGCGACCTGGTGGTCTGACATGTCAGATGGTTCGCTAGCAGGTGGAGCAAGAGAGATGTTGAGCGGAGGGAGCGACTCACTGCTTGGAAGAACATGTGCTAAGGCACAGTTATAAGTGAGCCAGTGACAGCCAAGGCGCAAGCATGGGACGGCACGGATGGTTGGATATGGATGGGTCGACGCTTCGCGGTTACGGCTTTGCGAGAAGAGCTTCCTGACACCCCAGACCAGGATTCATCAATAGGGCTGTACAAGGCATATGTACGATAAGTGTGAGTCCTTTCCCGGAAACTGGAGGTCTCAGCGACCGGCGCGGCCTATTATGTAAGCAAGATCCGATCGACGGAGCCGGACAAGACTCGCATCAGAACCTCAAGGCCCCATGATCTTATAAGATGACACGGGTGCAAACACTCCTTTTAGCTCAAAGCTGGCTTCAACGTCTGGCTGTTTGCGTCGGAGCCTGCCAGGAAGTTCGGCATGTTACCAGGCCCGTGCTCCGAAAACACCGAGAACAGTAGTGCACTGTGGATCGCTTCCAAACCCACTGCAGCGCTCAGAACATTTACGAAGACGGCCTTCTGCTGACTTTTGTGAGAGCCCTTCTGGTAGAATGCGCATACCTTCATCGTCCTGCCAGGACCCGGCCTGCGAGCATTCTGCACACCCACGGAATGTCAGCCTGTACGCACCAACATTCGATGTTGCCAATCACCACCGTATGCGCCGAAATCGCGCATGTTTGCCCCGTTATCACATGCTAGACCCAGAGACAGGTAACGCTTGGCTGTCAATTGAAACACCAGCACCAGTAAGAATGCCACTGTCACTCGTGAGTACTGGTGAGTCAAACAAAGTCGGCCGGTCAGATGGGATACTCACATTGCGGCATTCCAGATAGAACTGCTCGGAGCTTGGGCCTCTCGATACCATGTGCCGCGTACATTGATGTCTGGTTAGTCTGCTGGTTCGCGTTACGCTCGCCGTGATCTGCCGCTGTCTGAAGTAGGTTCGATGCTGCAGCAATCAACGGAGGCTGCGGCGAATATCAAACATCACATTCCTTCTGAACAGAACGGGTAGAGCCTTGAACTATCGTGAGCACGTAGTATTTCCATTTGACAATGGACAGCTCTCGGCTCCGGGTTGTGTGACTATTTGCAATACTCGGGCTGTTGACAGGTGGTTGGACACCCGTTTGACGAGAAGATTTTGAGAACACAGCGGATGATCACTCTCTGACGCACAGATAGACAGCACGAGCAGCGTGATAGATGGACATTCTCTGCCCAGGCCGTTGCCAGACCTCGCTCTGACCGAGAAGCCCGAGCTACGCGAAAACGAAACTGTCTTGCATGCCGTCTTTGATGCATACAGTGCTTAGGTACCTTTATGGTGTGAAGCTCGTTGTTGATCAAATGTTTGACATGAGCTTAAGCGTAAACGTGACATTTATTGGTGATGTCGAATCCTAGGCATGTGGTGCACATTTCGCTATCATGATCGTGCCAACGGTTCGATTCGGTGGGTTCTATAAGTCATCATAAAGCATAGAATTCTGCAACTACTCAGGACGTGAGGCTCATGGTTGAGGTATACATCGTTTTGTAGTGGAGAGAGGCGGCCATTTCATCGCTGCCACCTATACGCCGAAAACGAACCTGTGAAAGACTACCTAGGAAGTAACACTGCATAGTGTCCGAGGCAAACATAGAACCAAACCCACTCGCTCGGATAGCCATTTCGGGCGTGCGTCGCTTTCATACGTTCTTTCCTATGGCGCTCTACATTATGCCATTTCATAGGCGCCCTTCGTATCCAGACCGTTCTCGCGCGGCGTAGACATGCCGGGATCTCCCTGGAAATTTGGAAAGAGTTATCGAGGACAGTGGTACGAAACGAAAGAAGACTTACAGCGGAGGTCGACACTTCTCTGAATATGTCAACTTTCACTCTGGTCTGTGTGATAGACGGTCAATAAACATTGTTAACGAGGGGAAAGCCTTGTCTTGGGTACGCACTGGATGCGTGATTTGAATTTGTGAGGTGCCGCTGCTGCTTCCACCGCGGAGTTCGAGAGGGATTGAATTGATACCCGATGTGTCCGCCGCCGCTTGATTCTTGATGCGTTGTCTCGCATTCAGGCTGTCAAAAAAAAAAGTCAGATCGTAACAAGACTTGGTTGGCTAAGGAACGAACAGTGCAAGGGTGGAATTTGCATAGACTGCAGAGCATGAGTAACATCGGTCAATGTCATTATGTCATGACGGCGTCATGTGCGAGTGACTGAGACGTACGCTTGCTGATAATCTCCACCATACCGCCAAACATGAGACTAGTCCCGAGAAAGCGGAACTAGAAGATACAGTCAGGTTTTGTCTGAGATGCGGTTGAACGGCATCGACGATCGTACCAAGAATAAAGTGGTTACGGAGAATAACCTGGCCATCGTGCAGTGTGAACTTTTGTTTTCAGCAAAACTTGCGAGCACGTACATTGTGAGGGCACCAGTGTTGACGGTGTAAAAAATCAGCTTCTGGATAACGAATCTCGATCTATTATTGTATGTCAATGAGCATGGTGCAGCGCCGTTACAAGCGCACGCACCGTCTGAAGGCGGGCCTATTGCGACGTAAATAATACGTGAGCAGGACCGTGGTTACCAAATCGACGACTGCTGCCAAAGCCAGGCCGCAATTGAAGGTTGCCTGACATACAAAAGTGAGACAGTCCAAGCTGAAGCGGAACTCATGCTTACAAACGATCCCAAGTGGGAATGGAACTCGTCCCAAGTGCGATAAACGTAGCTAGAGATTCAATATCAGCGGCGGTTTGTTAAACAGATATCGAACGCACAGCAGTGTTCCAGTTGCTGTTGTGTCCAAGTTTGGAGCAGCGTGAATATCAGGTTGTCGTACGCCCTCCCATGAAAGGAAAAACGTACCGAAACCAAAGGCTGTGAGATTTCTTTAGCACAGTACAGAGCAGGCGGCAGGAAACACACATACCAACACGGAAAAATAGCAGTACTACTGCTGTTGCAGTAGCATAGACATTTCTTTCGCTCACTTAATCAAAGTCAGCGAGGACGAAGGCTGTGGATGAGCAGAGGCCTACATTGCCAGATTCTCACGATAGAAAACCTGAGTAATTTGGAACATAAGTCAACCGAAAGCAAAGCAAGTGACGTACCCTTGGGACAATGTGACGATAAATATCTGGGATTGTGCGACATGAGTATGTGGTAAGTATGGTGAGAGAGCATCGTGCGTGCCTCAATGAAGACTGTGACCTGGACGCAAAACGTTTCGTGTTAGCTCGTCTTAGTCGACATCGAAACAGGTTACTTCATACCCCGACGCTCCTGCGTAATGCGTGATCAGTGTTATGAGGTTAAGATAATGCCTCAATTTTGACGCACCATACAATCCCGCCGAGGGCAGCAGGATTACCGATATCCGAAATGAAGTATTCAAACAGGATGTGCAGGCATAGGGCGCTATGAGTGAATTCAAGCACACTGATCACGAGAGAATTTGCATGAGAATATGTAGCCCCATGCACAGCTTGGCGATTCATACCTCAAAGCTAACACCAGCAGCTTGATGTTGAGGGGATCGTGCTCGTATGTCGTCCAGTATGAGTAGACCTGAGCACAAAATACGCCAAACAATCTATATAAAAATTCGTAAGCCGTCTCACTGCCAAACAATGGTAGACGTACATTAGCGCGATGCACACCAGGATAAGGAGAGGACCCATGAAAATTTCGAAGTTGATCGCCATATCGTAAGGTTGAGGTGCTGGGTGTGGACCCGCGTACAAATGTCGCTATTTATTGAGCGTCCGTAGAGCTAGGAGAGTCTTGGAGACAGGTATCTTGACCGTCGGCTTGAAAGGAGGTATCAAGTGGCGGATTAGCATCACACTAACTTATGCCACAAGGTTTGTGGGCGACACCGCTCATGCGGGCGTCAAAGCTCTCCGAAGGTCGCTCAGATACTGGTGAGCTTCGCGCGTGCCCCGCGGATAAGGGGCAGAAAGCTTTCCCTTCACGTAGATTAACGGGTGGACCGTTGCTTCACATGATGTGACGGGTGCCTAGGCCAAAGCTTTACACCGGGACGCTCAGCGCTGTCTAAACGCCGGTGTTACGTTGATACAAGATCTGCTTCACAGCTTGATACGATTGCTCCATCTATCTCATATGGTCGTGTTTTGCCAGCGTTGTGCCGAGATCTTACCGATAACTTTATGTGACAGGCAACACGACCTGCATCTTCTCGGAAGTAGTGTGGGACATGATGCAGAGATAGATGCGAATGATTGTTTGTGGCCACGGGACGCCGAACAAATCGCAGCGTGCATCCCCAGGTTGCTGAAATGAAGGCTGTGTTCTATTCATATGCCGTAAGAATTGGTCCGTGCTGAAGCATCGTGCGCGTGCTGAGGAAGAACCTCAACACATGATGGATACATTACGATTGGTGGCTATTGCCACGCAAAGTCGACGGCGATTTTGAGCGTCGTGAATCTAAAAATGACCCTATCACATACGGATTCGACGTACTAAAGTGATGCACGAGCCTCCGACTCGAATGGAAGACACTACTCGAGCGATTCCGAGTCGTCCATCGTTATTTACTGTGCTTCCGTAGACAAGGTATCAGTACGCGATGACATACCAGATGCCAAGGGTTCTACTGTCTGGTTCGTCCAGCCAACGAATTGACATGCTGCTCTAGTAGCCACAAGGCAGCCGAAGTACGTTGCGCATGCGGCGTGTGACGGGCTGAAGGAACTGATGAAACAACATCATTGACTCGTCAGAAGCATGGTCCTTACGCTGATGAGCTACTAGCGACCGCACGGACAGTACACAGGTTGAGCCTAGGACGATGAGTCAAAGTGATGTACCATTGTGCTGGTCAGTGGCATTCTCCGTCGAATCGAAGACAACGACGACTGACCTAATAGCTCTATGTCATCTTTCTCAAGCTTCCAAGATAGGTCTTCTAGCAATGCCAGTGCTCAGGTCGCGGTGCCAGTGGGCGTTTAATTTTAGCTCCGAATCCCGCCAGCGGATGATTATGTAAGCGAACGCTCACCGCGGAAGCGCCTGAAAATGCCGTGCTTTGCTTCGTATGCAGCTTTGCAAACCCTGAACAGCGTCTGAAATGCCAGGAAATAGCAAGGCCCCCGTCGAACAGAAGCGGCGAAACAAGAAAATTCTCATAGATTGTTGAGTCGCGGCGGTTTTGCGCGGTGGCGCACCAGCTTACATAGGTCCGCATATCCGCACACTGTGGTACGCGTACAGCATCCACAGATACAGGCAGCACTCGCAGCGTCGACTTCAGATCGCTCATATCCCGCAGCCCCTATCAGTCTGCCTCTTCTCCAATACTCGTAGGTGCCTCTTTGAGAGACCGTCCAGTCCTGTTGTGGTAGAAAACTACGTCCCCTAGGACCATGATATCAGTAGCGAAATATATGCAGCCATAATGCTAGATCGTATAAAATATGCTTGCCTGTGTTCTCAACAAATTGGCAATCGTTGTAGTTGTCCCAGAGTGCCTTGAAAACGGACTTTGATGAAAACTGGTACTGGTCCCCAATGATGACCTTCAGATACTGTGTGGCTTCAGGGCCATGGTCTGAAGTACATGAGCGTGCGGAATGTTATATGAACACGATGAAAGCGTACAGAATGGCATCTTGGGAAAGAAGTGGTGGATAACATGGAAATGCGCAACACCATGAAGGAAAAAGTCGCCCATCCGGCCAAGAAAATCACGATCAACGGTTGCGGCAGCCCCCCGGGCGAATTTCCACGCCCCAGCACGATAGTGGGGCAAAGAGGAATCGGTATGGTGCAGGTAGGTTATCATGACGAACCAGTGGTTGACGCACAGCCATGGGATGCCGTAGTATTTGACCACCGCCGCGAGTCCCCAGATCGCACATGCGAAGTACGTCAGAACGATCATAGCCAGTGTACCAAGGTTCGACAAGATGACCGCATTTCTCTGGTTATCGGAGAAGAGTGTAGAGCGGGCTGCGACGAACCAGTTCAACGATTGCGCTTTATCAGATGGGTCTGAGAACGTACGGTCGTAATGATTCGTTCCCTGAGGATATGATCATTGTCCGGAAACGTTATATACTAGGAATGTCTGTCAGTGTTACGGTGCAACATTTTATTTGGCAACGTACAAAGATACGCAGGGAATGCGAACATCTGCTGGCCTATAAGCATGGCCAAAGTGTACAAGGGTGTGTCACCAAGATATTCCTCGTAGTTGACGGTGCCATCCTCGTCGTCGGGGATATTCAGCTCTGCTCTTGTCCAAGGTACGTAAACTTCGTCTCGCTCCATGGATGCGTGATTGCTGTGGTGTCGATGGTGCGAAATCTTCCAGCTGCAGTACGGAGTCCAGAGGGCCGTGTGCACGATCTAATCTACAGATCAGGGAGCGGTGGCATATGCTGAATATTATGGTACACACAAATCCTACAGTGTCGCATACCCATTGCTTGTCGAAGAAAGCTCCATGACCACACTTGTATGCTGAATTGAGCCATATTATTGGTACGTGATGTAAAGACGCACCTCGTGACCTATAACCCATATTCCTGTGAAGACTAAGCCTTGAAGCCACCAGCTAGAGTCGATGTAACGTCAGTATTAAACTATGTGCAAGCATAGCGGAGACCTCTTACTAGACTAACTATGCGCATCATCTAATCACTGCTAGGCCTAGCGTGTCGAAGACACTGGATATGCCTGCATTTAGTCTAATATGGCCATCGAGATAATATGCCCAGTGCCAGAGCACCATAGCCATAGTAATATCCCTGGTCAGGTACCCCATACCGCGGATAGTGTCACGTTCAAACAATTTGTTTGGGATACCGTGGCGAATCCCGCCGATAGACCTGTCAAATAGGTGAGCTATTGAACTCTAAACGAAAAAGCGGACGCACAACTTTAGCAGAATAAAAGGCGTCGTCATAGTGCCTTGTTTACTGGAAGGACTGTCGGGAATGGTAGTTGAGCTTCACCCCCTGTTACACAAAGCTAGTTCTTTCCTGTACGAGATTGAAGAGGTGGTGGTTGTATAGCGCAGACCACGACTGCGTGGACACATAAGTATAACTTGCAGTCCACGAGTGCTCTCTGGATGGAGCTCCGTTACCGCACCAATGGTGACATGGCGTTGCGTCCATGCCTTCGAGTATCGCGGCGGTGAATCGGAAAAACTGGCCTAGGAAGACAGTGCCTCGGGTCTCACAAGCTGGCGGGCCGACGTCCAAGATACGAAGCCGAACTCTTCCCTAGAGACATCGAACAGGGTTTAACATGCATCTAGTCAAGATAAGACATGCTTTGACATCGCCACGCTGCAAAACACCAGCGAAGGCTAGACATAGCCACACCCGCGGCGTCGCCTCAGTGAGGTACTCATCATTTACAGTATTGATTGGTGACTTCACTGGGGAACGGTAGGTTTTCGTTTGTAAGTGCCGTGTAATGCATCCGAGCACCCCACATCACGACGTGATCTGGTAGCATTGCGAGTCATAGTTGGATAGATAGCGACGGCACAAAGCTTGTAGTGGCACTGATGGCTATTCCCCAATGGCACTCGAAGAACAGGATCATAGCGCCCATCAGTAGCACGGAGATTGCCGAAGCTCGTTACGCTCGGGAAGTGCAGACGTGCAAGTTTTCAGGTGCAATCTAGTTCAGAGAAGCCGTTGCACCATGAGGAAAAACCACCCGACAATTGCGACGCTGACTTCTTTCAGGCTGTTACACATGTCACGATGTCATGCTGCTTGCGGTATCGCTAGCTTTCCGGAGAGTCGACGGTGCGACTCATCAGGGAAAAACGCCAGCGCCACACAGCGTTTCGGGTGCTGCGGGGTTCTGGTAGACTGGTAGAATGGTACCCGATTCGGCAGCCCTCTGTGGCTCTCGCTGCGCCTCCGTGGCACCAGTAGCTACCCGCCTTTGCTCAGTAGTTCACCGCAGTATGGCAGTAGCTTGTTTGTAGGTGCGAGTAGATTGTTACCACTTTCGGGGGCGCGGCGCACACAGTCGCACCATAGATGTTAATGAGGGAAAACATATATTTAAACATATATTATGTTAGGTACATGTTGGTATGCTACACCTCCCTCTCATAGTCATATACTCATCACAACTTCGGCAGCATAAACAGTAAGCATAAGAGTACATCTGCAGCATGAGTTAGAGCTATTCATGGTAACAACAGAGAAGGCAGTACTCACACCTAAGTACCAGGCTCTTCAGCGGTGGTCACCCTACTCAGCCTGGGAAGCGGCATTGGACTTGATAGTTATGAGGGACATGGTGGAGAGATCAGCATAGCCGGATTTCTATGAGCTAGTGCAAAATTAGCTCAGTAATAGCCAAGTCGTGCAGAGAGAATACTTACCTTGTCTGCCACCTGTATAACCCTGCTGTCCGCGTCCACCTGTATCCGAGTCTAGCATGTGCACATGCTAGCCTGATAGGTCCAAAAATCAGTGATATGTTGGCTAAAGAAAGAATATAATGGCAAAGGACAACCCGGCCCTCCGCAGCCGCTTGCAGTTCGTGATGCTTACCGCGCAGTCCACAAGCTCCTTACTCAGCGAGACAGGGCACGGCCCTAGGGCGCACTGTCATTTTTCTTGCTTGCTCCGCCGATGGTAACGCGGCATGTCGGTAGCAGTATGCTTGGGGTCCGGGAATATCGCGAGCTTCGACTACCACAGCCAGCTCTTGTCTGTTCTTCCAGAGTCCCAGGGAAGGCGGAGAGTCAGTGACGGCTATAGTCTTGGCAGCATACCGAAGGGATGGTCGAGCTGCATTACCATGGGCTGATGTGGAAGCTGGGACGACGAGATGTTCGAGCGCTTACCTTTGTCCGTCGCGCCATCATCCAACACTTTAGGGCAGACATCTTTGTACTTCGGCAGACACCTCTTGAGCTTGAGCTTGAACATCCACACGAGTTTGCCTTGGAGTGCTGCTCTTCGGTGCATTAATCTAATTTTAGTCCAGTAATGACATAGGTGTGTGTCCCGCATACAAATTTGCACATTGTAGCTTGAATAACCAATATATAATTTCTGGCATACCGTAGTGACCCCTAAAATGTGTGCGCTGCCGCTGGGTACTACCAGGCACTCCTGAGCCTCTACGCGTGCGCTACCCGACAAGGGCAGATGCGGTGGCTCAGGGTAGCAAGCGCCCTCGCTACGTAGTCAGACGCTGCTTCCTGATGCTCAGCCTTCTATACTTCCTTTGAGGAGGGTGGCCGCCTATAGGCATCTCTAGAGCTGTGGGCCGCGGGCACAAGAAATGACAGGCACAGATGGTTGAGTGACGAGCATACCATCCTCCTCCGCTCCGGTATCATTGAGTAAAGCTTCACCAACTATGCTCAGAAATCATAACATAGTCGCTTCTATTGCATATCTGTCATCCGACTATCTCCTGCCTTTCTCAATTATGCACTCTTGCCTCCGCTAAGTAGACCGCTCAGCAGCCTCCGCCTGTTATCATCATGTACTGGAGGTTTAAACTCCCGAGCGTAGGTATACCTGCGCTCTACTACATCCGTGAAACAATGACTTTATTTCAGATTGGACTGAATGTCTGTCTCTTGGCCCCGGTGCGCTCATTGGACAAGAGTTTCAGTTCAGCGGCCCAGACACAGGAACTTATTAAGTTACACCGGACTAGCCACCAGAAGCACCCAAGAGTGGCTAAGACACACTGAAGAATTTCCGAAAAGCCCAAAAATGGCACAAGTGGGAATTGAACCCGCAGCCCAAAAGTAACCGCAGCGTGCTATACCACTAAAGCATAAGACCTTGCAAATGTGAGGCTGGAATTGCCCTATAGTACCACTTTTCTACCTCAAAGTCTTAGCTGTAATATTGTAGCCAATTATCAGGTATTAAAGCATTGGAATGTAATTGTACAAATGTATATCCTGATGGTGTGGCTAAGACACTGACGTGGCTAAGACACCAGTGTGGCTAAGACATTGAGTTATTAAATATTTGCTATTGATTCTGCTTATTGTACAAATGTATATTCTGATGGTGTGGCTAAGACACTGACATGGCTAAGACACTAGTGTGGCTAAAACACCGGAGCAGATGAACTATACTCAAGTGGAATCAATAGCAAATATTTAA